AAGATGAAATGAGAAAAAAAATGTCTGTTTCTAAGAGCTCAATAAGATGTCTATTCTCTTTTTTCTCCCTCTTTTATAGTACAGACTACAAATAATGTATATATTCAGAGAGATGACACTGGTCCCCAGTGAAAGGCTCAGGAAGGAGTCAGGGGAGAGGGTTCTCACCTCAGCTTTAAGGCATGGGTAGAATTTGGAGAATGAGAATGAGCATGCTGTGCTAGCTTGCCAAACTAAAGGGCACCGTTTAATCCACAAATAAAATTTTTACAGCCAGCTGTGTGTCAGGCACTGTGCTTGTGGTTAGGATATTGAGGTGAGTCACTCGGTCCTCTTTTGATCTGCAGCTCAGTAAAGAAAATAGACCTAATCAAGTTAATGTAATATTATAGGACCCTGTAGAGACATTTTCCCAGGGTAAGAAATGTCTGTGAAATATTTCAGGCATACAAAAGCATAGAAAAAAAAACACAGTGAACATCATATACCAGTTAAAAAAATGAAGCATTGCTGATACAATAGGAGAACCCAGTTGGTACCTCTCCCTCTGACAATTGAGAATCTTGTTCACGAAGTAAAGAATAGAGGAGAAATGACTGTCTCAAGGTGCCACATGGCAAAAAAAAAGTCAGCTTAGGGTTTCCTAGCCTTCCATAATGCAAAAAGGCATGTTGTCTGGTTGTATTTATTTGTTGCTTTCATTTTTAGCAAGGTCATGTATCTTTTCAGTTTCTAGGGTCTATGTGGCCCAGTAAGAAAATTCAAAATTCCCCATCTCTTCTTTCATAGTACTACTCTTCCTACAGATAATAACTTACCAATCATTTAGCTAATTATTATCATAATACCTCACGACCTCTAAATAATATGCTGAAATGACTTCATTTTTCATTTTTAGGCATAATGTATGGTATTTCTCTAATGAAAACTGAGGCTTCAGGTCTCTGTGCTGCTTCTTCCTTAGCTCACCCATGAACCCTCCCTGAGATCTCCATCCCTTCAATGGAAAAGAGACCCCTGAAAGAGACAGCAAAGATGGGAACTTAATATTTACCAGACCTGGTATTGTGGATGATGCAGTAAGGATAAGCCATTCAATATATTTCACAGTGACAATTGGTTATCTGTAAGTGAAAATAAAAGAATTGGATCCCTACCTCACACTACACACAAGAATCCATTCCAGAAAAGTTAGATCGTTATTGTAAGAAACCAAAGTTTAAACTGTTAGAAGAAAACATAGGAGAATTTGCTCAAAATTAAAGATGATAAAAATACACTTGACTTTCAGAGAGAGACGGCATCTCATCTGAAGTATTACACATAACACAAAGTTTACTGTGCCTAAGACTCCTTTTTCTTCTTTGCTCTCTTGCCCTTATTCTCACAGCTCAGGTTGTATGATGTTGTGGGGCTGGTGGCAGTGAGACTAACTTTGCAAACTGTTAGAAAATTTGAGGGCTGGCTGATTAGAATGTGGGCTAAGAAGCCTCCTTGGTCCTCAGCTTTGGGCTTTCATCACCACTTTCCAGTTCCAGATACAATTCCACTTCACATCCTATTACATTGCTGTTAAATAGGAAGATGACTCTCTTGGAAATGTGTCCAAGGAGTATAAAAAGGATCACTGTGCTATTCTCACACTTGAGGTCTTTAGAATAACTTCTTTCATTTGTTTGCTTCTACAAGGTTTTTATGTCTTTTGGGGGCAAAGCAGGGTTAGATTATAGATTTTTGTACTACTGATTTAAATTTTTGAACCAATATAGATATAAATGCATGTTTTAATTGTTATTTTAACTGATTTTTAACTTATTTTACATTGTGGTCACAGCATATAGTTTCTGTGACATGAATTATTTGACATTGTTTGAGTCTTGCTGGATGGCTTAGCATGCAGTCAGTTTCATAAATATGCTATACGTTCTTGAACAAAAGTATATTCATTTAATGTTGGCACAGGATTCGCTATATCTATTAAATCTGTTTAATTGCATTACTCAAACATTCTAGTTTCTTGTGGTATTTTATGGTTTGGTTTGTCAGCTACTGAGACAGGTAAGTTTCAATCTCATTGTATGGGTGGTAGGTTTGTCATTTCTCCTCACAGTTGTTTTTCCTATTTTTTTGCTGTAATATTATGAGCATACAGGTTTAGAATTACTATATCTTTCAAGTGATTACAACCTTTTATTATTAAATAATAACTCTTTTTATCTCTGAAAGGTTTTTCCCCTCCTTGGTCTATTTTCTCTGATATTAATACAGCTGCAATAGTTTGTTTTTGAATTGAAGTTACCTGGTATGTTTTTCCAACCATTAACTCTCAAACTTTGTGCATTCTCTTCTTTTAACTATGTCTTCTGTAAGATTCAATTTTAATTTTTACCCATTCTATTTCTGGAAGATTTGTGTCTTTTTATATATTGCAATTATGATCTGTCAGAAGTTATTTCTCTCATACTATTTACAGCTTTCCAGGAAGGCACAAGAAGACAATCATTGCATGTTCTCACTTATTTGTGAGATCTAAAAATCACAACAATTCAACTCAAGGGCATAGAGAGTAGAAGGAGGCTCAGAGGCTGGGAAGGGTAGTGGGGGCTGGGAGGTAGATGGGGATGGTAATAGGTACCAAATAAATAAATAAATAAATAAATAAATAAATAAGGCCTACTATTTCATAGCACAATAGGGTGACTATAGTCAATAGTAATTATATATTATAAAATAAATAATGTAATGGGATTATAACTAAAAGGGTAAATGCTTGAGGAGATGGATACCCCATTCTCCACGATGTGCTTATTTCACATTGCATGGTCATACCAAAATATCTTATGTACCCCACAAATGTATACACCTACTATGTACTTACAAACATTTAACAGTAACAAATAAAATAAAAAGAATTTTCCACATCCTGTTTTTTTCTAATTATTTTCCTTTTTCGGTTTTAAATTGATTGAGTTTTAGATTCCATTTGCTTTTACATCCTACTGCTTTTAAAGTTATATGTTCTTTTTAAATTCTCTTATTGGTTTCTCTTAAAGGTTGTACATATTCATGAGATAATATAATAAGGGCATGCTGACATCTTTGAAAAAACTGAAAAAGTGATATAATAGGAAGGATGAACAAGAGGATCTAAGTGAAAATTAGAGAGAGTAATTGTTCCGAGTAGAGAAAACAAGCCATCATTCTAAAGGCCTGAGGGTAAGAATGACACAATAGTTTTTCTCATTCCCCTGAACACCAATTCCAAGGTAGTCATCCCATTTAAGAACAATGGCACAGAACGTTGAGTGAGATTTTTCCTGAACCCTGCAATTGGAGGACAAAGAGGCTCCAGTGGCTCATATTCTAAACAAAACCTCCAACAGACACCAGGATGGAGCATTGTGACCAAGGTTTCCAAAGAAGTGGGCCAGTTAACCTCACTACCAGCCACCACACCCAGCACTCCCCAAGCTGTGAAAATGAGAAGGGAGCACTGAAGAGGAGAGACTTGTAAGAACTGACAGTGTTGTTTAGGATGAGACATCTCCCCTCCCTGGAAACCAGGTGTGGGTGCTCTAAGGGCATCAATTTCAGAGGCTGGGGGCCTCTCAGTTGCCAACCAGGTGTGGCCAAACTACAGAACCTTTAGGCTTTCTTTGATGTGGCTATTGGAGAGACATGGTGTGACAGGCAGAATTCTGAGATGGTTCCCTAGACTCCAGGGCCTTCGTGTACACACCTTCTCCCAGTTTACCAATTAAACACGAATCTAGGTATTCATGGGAAGGATTTTTCTTTAGCTATGAGTAAGTTCCCAAATCAGTTTGCCTTAAGACAGGGAGGTACCTCAAGCCTGACCTAATCACCTGAGACATTTACACCTGAATCTAAAGGTCAGATGGAGGGGGCTACATGGCAAGGCACACAGGTAGCCTCAAGAAACTAGGAACGAACCAAGTTGACAACAAGAAAATGAGGACCCCTGCCTCACAACTGCAAGGAGCGGAACGCTGCCAAGAACCTGAAATGACTTCAACGTGAATTTTCCCCAGAACCTCCAAACGAGAGTTCATGCTGATCAACTCGTTAAATTCAGTCTCGTGATCGCCTGAGGAGTGAACCCAGTGAATGCTTCCCGGACAGGAGACCCACAGAATTGTGAGGTAATAAGTAGGTACTGTTTTAAGCTGCTATGTTTGGCAATTTTTTACACTTTTAGTTTAAGTTCAGGAGTACATGTGCGGGTCTGTTACAAAGGTAAATGTGTGTCATGGGGGTTGTCATATAGATGATTCCATCACCCAGGTGTTAAGCCGACTACCCATTAGTTATGTTTCCTGATCTTCTCCCTCCTCTCACCTTCCACCCTCCAAAAGGCCCCAGTGTGTGTTGTTCTCCTCTATGTGTCCAGGTGTTCTCATCATTTAGCTCCCACTTATAAGTGAGAACATGAGGTGTTTGGTTTTCTGTTCCTGTGTTGGTTTGCTAAGGATGATGGCCTCTAGTTCCATCCACGTCCCTGCTAAGAATATGATCTCATTCTTTGTGTAGCCGCATATAGTATTCCATGGTGTATACATGTGTTGTGGCAATTTTTTACATACCATAGAAAATTAATAAATGCCATAAAGAAGATGTTTAAAATCTAGTTCATGGTGTCTGCTTCCCATCTGACTTTTCCTTAGTTCAGGAGGTTTACAGATTCTGGACAATGGTATAGTGTGCTTAGGTATAAATGGAGGGCATCTCTGACCTTATCCCCAGCTCTCCCCCATTCTCAGAGAAGGGGGAAGAACGTCTTGATGATTCCTGAGCTCTATAGAACATTAAAAATCAGAGGAGGAGACAAGTGAGGAGAAGCCCCAAATAGCAACCAAGTGAGGAGGGACCACGTCTGGTCTGGCGTGGAGGCTGAAAGGAGCCACCATTGTCTTTCTAAGTGGTTACTCAGTGAATAAAGGTTTGGGTCACCAGACTAAATCCACATCCACTATCTTCACAGTGCTACAAATGATGGGGGCAGACAAAATCAAACTGAACTAGAAGTGACGAGGTTTTCCTCCCCACTTTTTCAGGGGATCTAGCTCATCCACCTTTTCCTGTGGAAGACTGTAGTTTCTAAAGCTTGCTGCTCTAATACCTCCTATCCTACAAGCTCTTCACTGTAATCATGCCCCTATCTCATTCAGTAGTAAAATCTATTTCCTTTCCCTTTGAACCCAGCCCAGTCTTGCTTGACCAAGAGAATATGGTGGAAGTGACGTTCTAGAACTTCCATTACTAGGTTGTAAGAAGTCTTGAAACATCTTCCTAAACCTCTTGGAATGCTCTCTTTGGGGGCATTTTCTTTGCAAATGTATTCACCATACAGTGAGAAGCTGTATTCACACTACATGGAGAGACCACATATTGTCTGTCAGGTCAACAGCCTCAACTGAGCTCCCAGATGACAGCCCACATCAAGTGCCATCCATATGAGTAATCCTTCTTGGACATCCAGCCTAGTCATGTCCTCAGATGGCTGCATCTCCAGACACCCCACGGAAGAGATGCCCGGCAGAGGCCAGTCAACCTACAGAACCATAAAAAACAATAGTAAATTGTTGTTTTAAGCCACTAAGGTTTGAAGTGGTTTGTCACACAGGAAAGATATAAGTGCAACACCCTCTTTTCTCTCTTCCCTGTCCCCTCTACCCTTCAAAGGAAATGAAACTCAGAAATAAAGGGACTTATCCAAGGTCACATAACTAAGTAGCAGAGCTAAAATTGGAACCCATTAAACACATGTTACATTTCTATGGAGGGTCTCCTGAGGTCAGAGTTATGCCACCAAATACCATGAACTGGATGCTTTGGAAATATTGTAAATAAATGGAAATCTGGAATGAGGAGCAGGGGTAGGCAAGCTTCTATGGGGCTGCCAATTTTCATTCCATCTTGATGCCAGAGCTGCCCTTGAGCATTAGAAGTCCCTGGTCACTAAGTACTGACCAGCCTTTTAGGCCCTAGTCAGCAAACTTAGAGCCAAGGACATCTTCATCACCCTGGTAACAATTCAGGCTCTGCCATGGGGGCCACATTCCGGAGGCCAGGGAACAGACGTGGAGGTGGGGAGCTGGCACAGAAAGCAACCCTTCTCAGAAACCAGCCCAAAAGAAATTCACAAAAGCCACGTTTTCTTTGGTCTAATATTTACAGTTCAAGAATTTCCCCATCTGCTAACAGCAGAGTTGAGCCCGTGGTCATGGACACAGCCCAGGCTGAATACTGCTTCTTGCTCTTTATGACTTTTCCAAGAAACCTGCTGTGTTCTGGTCTGTCTTTTGAGCCCCTTTCTCTCTCTTTTCCTCTTCCCTTTCTCCTTCTCCCATTCTCTTCCCACACTTACACAAAAATCTTGAAATAAGACATTAGCAGATGAATATTTATGGAGTATTGACTGTGTTCAAACTATCATGTTAGATATACAATGCTATTTCGTTTGATTCCCACAGCAATCCCATTAAAAGAGGTATATTACACTCATCGAATAGTTAAGGTCGGAGATGTTAAGTAGCATGCCCACAGTCACACAGCTCCTAAGGAGAGGTGCTGTGATTGGAACTCACATCTCGCTGTTCTCAGGTTCTTGCTCTGCCCACTTTGCTTTTTCAGCAGAAAGCTGAAACAAAGCAAAAGAAAATATTATAAGCCCTCTTTTCTTACTGCCTGCCTCATACCCAACCCTGGAACCACAATGCCTGTCTGAAAGAAAATTTGAAAGAAGATTGGGTGGGGACAAACATTTTCTGCGATCCTAAGGATGCCCTGATAGACAGGAAAGCTAAAAAACCTCAATTCAATCATGTTTACAAACGCAGTGAAACTCCTGTCATTATTTTTATGCTGAAAATAAAAAGATAAAGAAGACCATCTCTATCTTTAAGCAAATGAAGGCATGACCATTAACAAGCATTTAAAATATTCTACTCTCTTCTTACCCAATTCTCACAATGATTCTATGAGTAAGCCATTCATGTACCCATTTTATAGAAGTGGAAAGCATGTGTCTGAGAACTTCTAGTCAATAAAGACACAGTCACAACCCACGGTTTCAGAAATTGTGCAATGCCACTGGGTACCAAATTCATCTGAGCAGTGAGAGGTGACCATCCTGGATCAGGCAATAAAAGGGTCCCTTATCCAAAGATAACCTAACAATACTCAAAGTGACTAAGAAGTTTTCTGCTTTTTGTCTGACAATGCTATCCAATGTCAGTCATCAAATATTTCTTTCTGAAAAAAATGTTTGCTGGTCAAAATTGGAAACAATTCTGCAGTTACTATTGAGTTTAAATATATATGAACATTTTATCATCACATTTTAATTATTTATGCTTTAATAAATGATAAGTTCTATATAAAATTTAACTCAGAAGATTCCCAGTTATACAGTTAGTCTCTGAATCCCAGGAACTCAGCTACATGTCCTTGGTTAAATAGTAAATTTGCAATGGTTTGAAATTGTTCAAGCTTGCCTCAGGGCAGTCCATGTCTCCAGCTTACTAGGTTTTAGCTATTAATAATTAGTGAGCACCCCACTGGGTGCTAGGCACTGTGCTGGACTGAGGATCAGATACGTGAGCTCCCATCTCTCACGGAGTCTGGACATCTTTTCGAAATGTCTGTCTTTTGGAAAGTGTACTGATTAATTTTATGTGTCAACCTGACAAGGTTAATGAATACCCAGAAAGCCGGAAAAACATTATGCCTAAGAAGCTGTTTCCAGGAGAGATTAGCATTTGAATCAGTAAACTGAGTAAAGGAGACCTGCCCAGATTGGGCGAAAAGACAGTGGAAGGGTTAATTCTCTCCCTCTTGATCTGGCATATCCATCTTCTCCTGCCCTCAGACTTCAGAGCTCCTGGGTCTCAGACCTTTAGACTCCAAGACAAATCAGCAGCCCCAGCAGCCCCTACCAGATTCTCAGGGCTTCAGTTTTGGACTGAACTACATCACTGGCTTTCCTGGTTCTCCACTTTGCAGACAGCATATTGTGGAACTTCAGAGCCTCTGTAATCTTGTATGCCAATCTCATAATAAAGGTCCTCTCATCTATCTGTCTATCTATCTGTCTATCTATCTGCCTGTCTATCTATCTATCTATCTATCTATCTATCTATCTATCATCTATCCATCCATCTATTCATCTATCCTATTGGCTCTTTTTCTCTGGAGAACCCTGAGTAATGCAAAAGGAGATAGATCATGAAGAAGGAAACAAAGTGAAAAACTCTGAAGCAATTTCAGTGTTTCAGTTTCAGCCTTCAGCCATAAAGAATTATCTGAAGAAGAAAATAACAGGGTTCTTTGGGAGAGTTAATGGAATGAGGGGTATCTGGGGTATTCATTAACCTTGTCAAATTGACACATAAAATTAACCAGCACACTTTCCAAAAGACAGACACTCAGTGAGAGATGGGAGCTCATGTATCTTATTCTCCCGGGTTTGATAAGATGAACAGGGACCTTTTTCTGTGAAGGTGGCATCTTAGCAGAGAAATGAAGAATGCATGGAGTCAGGCATGGTGGTGGATGCTTTTGGTCCCAGCTACTCCAGAGGCTGAGGCTGAGGTGGGAAGATGGCTTGAGCTCAGGAGATTGAGGCTGCGGTGAGCTATGATTGCACTACTGCACTTCAGCCTGGGAGACAGAGTGAGACCTTGTCTCTATTTAAGAGAAAGAGAAAAAGAAAAAGAAGAAAGGAAAGGAAAGGGAAAGAGAGAGAAAGAGAGAAAGAAAAAAGAAAGGAAGGAAGGAAGAAAGGAAGGGAGAGAGAAAGGAAGAAAGACAAAGAGAAAGGAAGGAAGGAAGGAAGGAAGGAAATGGGAGTTGACCAGATCTTCCCCTCAAGAGGCAGGAGAAGAGGGTCCTGACCACCAAAAGACATGTGAAAGAAAATTCTAGCATGCCTAAGGGCTTGGGTAAACCCCTCACAGAGCCTATGAGAGCTGAGGAAATGGCAGAAGGAGAACTGGAGAAGAAAGCAGGAATCAATCATATCCAGGGAAGTTAGGAGTGTGAGGTAGGCATAGATTTTATTCTACCTGCTACCAACAATTTTCAGAGGGTAGGAAACACATTCTGATTTTTACTTTCAAAAGATCTCTCTTGTTGTCACGTGGTGAAGACAGTGGTAGAAGTCAAGAAAGATAATGGCAATGTCCCTGGAAGTAGAAGAGGTGAGTAATAGATATAGTTGGTGATATAATCTTATTGGAAGGACTTGTTGAGGTTAAGGCAAAGAGAGAAATCAAGGACAACTCCTAGCTACCTGTTTTGTTTTGGGTAGAGATGAAGCCATTTGTTGAAATGGAAAATTGGAGAGAAACATTTGTGTGTGTGTGTATATGTGTGTGTGTGTTTGTGTGCAACATAGCACATTTTTACTTAACAAAACTTGGCAACTAAGAAAGAAAAGTCATCTCACTACTTAGAACCAAACACTAATAGTTTGGCACATATCCTTCCAGTCTTTTCTCTTTACATTTATATTTTATTTAAAAACACAATATATAGTTACATGCAACATGACTTAATGTGTCATATAATTAGGAGTTAGATAAACCGGAAGTTCTTACCCTATTAGTTACCTTGCTGTGTGACTTTTGCAATGTACTTATCCTTTCCAAACTTTCTTTCCCCATCTATAAAAAGAATAGAACACTGACCTTCAATTTAATCCATTTTTTTGAAAATGGACTATATCATGCTGATAATGCACTTAGCACAATCTCTGGCAAATGATAAGCACACGACCTGTTAATTATCATTATCTTTAGTATTTCTATGATTACTTCCCCAGGAATAAAAAATCCTTAAAATGGAATTGCTACCCTAAGATACTATACAAATAACAACAACAACGACAAAAGAGAATACACTCCCAAACTCCACAATAACTCTGAATTTTTTTTTCTGACCCAAAAGAATTTAGGGGAAAAAGGTAACAAAAAATTGACATGGTAACATTGATCTTAACTGAAACCCTGTTCACATATATTTAGGAATATTACATTAGCAGAGATTCAACAACAATTTTTTTCTCAATTATTTTAATGCTGATCCAATATTGCATTAGAGTTTTTTGGGTGGAATTCTTGTCTCGCCACAGATCAATGTCACATTACTATTCCAAGAAGGAACATCCTTCCTGAGCAGGTGAACTGATGCATGTCTCAAATTGGGTTGGATGCTTGCTAGGGCTATAAAACATGTGTGATGACAAGGTAGGCCTGAGACACTTCAGAGGTAAATTTCACCGGGAGCTGCTGTTACTGGTTTGCTTTTACCATCCGCAAATCTGCCCTTTCCCAGTGGTTTTTCTCATCTACTTTCCCATGTCTCAAAGTTGCTTCTGTTTATACCAAAGTTTTTTGTTTTGTTTTGTTTTGTTTTAGACAGAGTTTCAATCTTGTTGCCCAGGCTGGGGTGCAATGGTATCATCTCAGCCCACCACAACCTCCACCTCCTGGATTCAAGCGATTATCCTGCCTCAGCCTCCCAAGTAGCTGGGATTACAGATATGAACCACCACGCCTGGCTAATTTTTTTGTGTGTGTTTTTGGTAGAGACGGGGTTTCTCCACGATGATCAGGCTGGTCTTGAACTCCTAACCTCAGGTGATCTGCCCATCTCGGCCTCCCAAAGTGCTGAGATTACAGGTGTGAGCCACAATGCCTGGCCCATTCCAAAGTTTCTTAAAGAACCAAAGAAGCCCAGCCCATAGAAAGAGCTGTTGGTTATGCTGGGGGTTGGGCATGAATCCAGCAATACCTCCAGCCCAGCACAGGATAACCACAAGATGAACCTGACTGAGGCTTTAAGGCTAGTGATGAAGCCTGTCTCATTGACCCAAAGTGGCTTGAAAAGCCCCAGCAACACCAGACTGTGGAAAAGTGAATGCAAGCCAAGGAAACATAAAGGCACAAGGAATAATTTAGAAACCTAATTAGAACTGATTAATTTCCCTGTCAAGTTAAATTCATTAGCCCAGAAGCCAATTGAGTTGGGACATTTGTGTGCTAATAAAAATAATGCCTAACAAGGACCCCCTTTGCAGACATTGGAAACAGTTTGGCTACAGAAATGGCATCATGGAAGAGGCTGGACGTAAAACAAGAAAGTGCTTCTAATCTAGTTACATTGTCATCATAAAGTCTTACTTCACAGAAACTGGGATATACGATTATGACTACAAAGTGAAATAAAGTGTGTGAAATATATTGTGGCCCTTAAAGTGCTCTACAATATATAGCAATATCACCTAGACCAAGACCGCAAAGATGATGGATGGAAGCCCAGAGAGGTTACGTAACCAGACCAAGCTAGCTAACTTACTGGTTATCTAAGCAAGGTTATCTTACTGGTTAGATAACCAGTAAGTTAGCAGTTCTCCTGGTTGTCTTACTGGTTAATCTTACTTGGATAACCTTACTTGATTATCTTACTGTTTATCTAACCAGTAAGTTAGTGGCTCACTCTAGGACTACAAGTTGAATCCTTCAACTTCCTATTGGTTATTCCCTTTTCACAGCATGATACCTCTATGACCATCATGCTAATACCTTGGGAATGCACTTATTATCTTTTCCATTTATTTAACGTCAGGCATCTTGCACATTTATTTCACTAAATCCTCATAAGAACTCGGCACAGTCACATGGTGGGAGGAGAGGCTAAGAAACTCACTTGTGTCACAGAGGTGAGAAAAGAGGGAATTGGAATATATCTGGTTCTAAAGTCCACATTCTCAACCACTGCAGTACATTGCCTCCCTCACAAGGGTTACCTCAATCTAAAACGCTCTCTCAACTGTGTCAGCAATTTTGTAGAAAAGAACTGACCCTTGGGAAACACTTGCTGTGTTGCAGAAACCAGACTACTTCATAAGCCTTAACTCACATTATTCTGGTAATCTTTTAAGTAGTTGTTCTTATTTCTAGTTTATAAAAAAAGGTAATTCAGCTAATCGGAAGCAAAGGAACTTGCCACAGCTCAAAGTGCTGGTGGGAGTGCACTTTTGCTGGGCTCCAAATGAATTCCCTTTGTACCTGTGGCCTCTCACACAATTGCCATAAAATCATTGCAGTTAATAACCTTTGTTATGAATGAAAACTGACTGTAGATACAGCCATCAGTCACAGACTCACTTCATCCTTACTATTCTGTCTAGCAAATTTGAACTACAAATGAGTCCATAGCCGAACCACATTGCAAATAATCTTTGAATCAGATAAGCAGAACCAAAGGAGAGGAGAGGTGAAATGCAGAAATAGACAATTCTACAGCAGTGATAAGAAAATAAATAGCACCTTACATCAAGCATTTCCCAAGTAGAATTCACAAAATTCTAGAGTGCTAAGAAATATTAATAGTTCTTCAATGAAAAATAGATTTGGAAGTTTAAAAAGCATGTAAAATAATGGTTAAAAAATCAAATTGCTGTATATGTGTGAGCTTATATATGCATACAGTTAACCTATAGTGCAAACCTGAGTTTTCACTGTGTGGGTCCACTTATATGGGGATTTTCTTCTGCTTCTGCTACCTGAGATAGTAAAACAACCCTCCCTCTTCCTCCTCAGCTTACTCAACAAGAACACTATGAGGATGAACTTTATGATGATCCACTTCTGCTTCATGAATAGCAAATATATTTTATCTTCTTTATGACTTTCTTACGTACACTTTCTTTTCCCAAGCTTACTTTCTTCTAAGCATACAGTGTATAATACAGATGCAAAATATGTGTTGTTTATGTTACTGGTAGGGTTTCCAGTCAACAGTAGGTTATTAGTAGTCAAGTTTTGGGGGGAATCAAGTTACATGTGAATTTTCAATTACATGGTGGGGGTCAACACCCCTCCCCTCAGCATTGTTCAGCATTGTTTAGCATTGTTCAAGGGCCAACTGTGTGTGTGTGTGTGTGTGTGTGTGTATTTCTGTAGGACTCTAGAGTTTTTTTTTACTTATAGAGTAAAATTTAAATGTTCATGAAGGTATATACTACTTCTTGAACTTCCTTAACAGTGGAATGCCTTCCTAACTTTTTTTTCCTCAGAATACTGGTTAGTATGTAGAACAGAGTTAGGCACACTTTTCTGTAAGGGCCAGATGCTAAATATTTTAGGCTATGTGGTCCATATGTTTCTGTTGCAATGACCAAATTCTGCTATATTGCATGAAAACAGCCATCAATGATACATAAATAAATGGGCATGGCTGTGTTCCAATAAAATTGTGTTTACAAAAAAAGTGGGGGGTAAAATGGGCAGGGGTGGTTCTGGTCTATGAACCTCTGTTTTCTAACCCTTGATTTGATAGAACATTTGTTCCCCAAAGTGCAGCTTACATGGTTGTCTTACATGATATTCACAGATGTTTACAAAGTGCTAAAGTAGAACACATAGCTACCTGGCCTTCTCTAATTCAAGTATCAGAATCTTGAGTCCAATAGTTAGGTAAGGTCCATGCAATAAAACTATCTGGAGGGATTCTGTAACTGAGACTTAATAAGGGTGATAACATTAGCTTTTTCAGATGATTCTAGAATTCTAGAATAAGAACTTGAGGCAGAACATGGGAGGATCCAAGGTGGCCGAATAGGAATAGCTCTCAATTGCAGTTCCCAGGGAAAATGCAGAGGGTGAGTGATCACTGTATTTCAAAATGAATTTTTACTGCCCACTGACCAGGAGATTCCCCAGGTGGAAAAGTAGGCAAGTCTCCAGTGTGGCTGTTTCTGCTGGTGCAGCAGATCTCTGCACAAAAACTCACACAAATCCGGGTGCCATTTCAACTGGTGACTGGAACGCCTGGGAGACAGAGTCGCCTGTTCACCTGAATAAAAAGGGGCTGAAACATGGAGCCAGGTGATCTGGCTTGGCTGTCCCATTCCCACAAAGACCAGCAATCTGAAACACTGGATTGAGTTTCAGAGAAAGTGCAGCTGGACCTGGAGTGGTCCAGCTCTGTAGCGGGAAGGGCACCTGCCATTACCAAGGTAGTCCACCACTACCGAGGCAATCCGCCATTACCGAGACAGTCCACCATTACAGAGACAGTTCCCTGTTACTGAGGCAGACTGCCATTACAAGGCAGTTCTAACTATACCCCTATAAACAAAACTGCAAGGAAGTTCACACAGCAGCTGGGCAGAGTCCACAGCAGCTCAGCAACACCTCTACTGGCAGACTGTGTCTAGGCTACCTCCTTGCTCGGCAGGGCATCTCTGACAAAAGGCAGCAGAATGACAGAAACTTATAAATAAAGTCCCACCTTCCCGGGACAGAGCATCTGGGGGAAAAAAAGGCAGTTATGAGTTCTGCTGCAGCAGACTTAAACTTACCTGCCCAGCAGCTCTGAATGGAACAACAGAGCTCACATCTCAGCACATGAGCTTCTATAAGGGACATACGTTCTCCTCAAGCAGCTCCCCAACCCCCTCATAATCAAAGAGACACCTCATAAAGGAGAGCTCAGACTGACATTGGGCGGGTATCCTTCTGGGACAAAGATAACAGAAGAAGAAACTGGCAGCAACCCTTACTGTTCTGCAGCCACTGCAGGTGATCTCCAGGCAAGCAGGGTCTGGAGTGGACCTCA